TCTGCTACCTCCCCCCTTCTCCTCTTGGAACAGCTGCCTTAGCTTCAGGAACCTCGAGTACTGTGGGCGATTTAGAAAAAGAAAATGCAGTTTGAAATTCTGAATTTGCTAAGTACTGTAAGAATAATTTATAGTAATGAATTTTAAAATCAACTTTTTATTGCCTTCTCACCAGCTGCAAAGTGTTTTGTACCAGTGAATTTTTGCAATAATGCAGTGTGGTACATTTTTCAACTTTGAATAAAGAATACTTGAACTTCTCCTGGTCGTTGTCATCTGTCACACAGCTTCCCCAGCTGACTTTAGAAGACGACGACTGAGTCTAATGGGAAAAACGTTTAACTCCTTTGGTTTTCCAGTAGCCATCCTACTGAAATCTTGGTTTCACTAATACTGCCTGCCTATTTATTAGGCAAGTTAATACCAAATATGACAAATATATGCCTACATATAAACATACTACTACTAATACACGTTACAATTTAATAAGGGACTCACTGCTGGCATCTGAGACCAGGGTGGGGCGCGTCCCCGGCTGCTGAGAGGCCTGCAGCTACGTACCCTCTAAGCCTCGTTCTCCACGTGAAACAACAGACAGCTGGACGAAGTGACTTCTGAGAACCGATCTAGCTCTAAATCCCACGAGTCTAGAGACAGCCCTTCAGAGATACGACGGGGATATAGCCAGACTAGGTTCATACCTCCTTGAAGAAGTAATAAAAGAGAACACCCTCTTACGTCCCAAGGAGGTGGCGCCGCTCCTCGGGCCAGGCGGCGGTGGCACAGTGACGCCGTCGTGGTGGGAGAGCCCCGACGGCTGTCGTCAGCCCGGGCGTGTAGCTGCCTCTTCTAGAGTTCGGTAAATTTTCATTGATTTATAACGTGGTAATGGTTAACGGGAAGCTGAGTCAAAACTCACCTTCCTCTGCAGTTAGTTAGTTACACAAACGCTGAGAAGACTGGTTTCCACCGCGTCCGTGCACAAGCCAATAGCCACCTGAGTCCTGGCATACAGCTCATGGGCCCCTTGGCTTTGGCAGCGAAGAGACCCGGCCTTGGGGGCTAGTCTCGTGTGTCATCCGTGTCTTCTCTGCCACCCTGCTGGGATGTCCTGTCCCCACGCCCCACCCAGGAAGCGGGACCTGCACTCGGCCGCCTGTCACTGACCTGTTCACGGAGGGTCACCCCGCGTTTGCCTGATCACCGCATCCCGCCCTTGGCGCTCAGCCCCAGCGGAGCCCGTCTGTTCCCTGCTGCACGTGGGCCTGTTCAGGACGCCCCAGGGATGACTTGCCCCCCGCAACAGCAGCTACTGACAGAGCTCGTTCCAGCCCCAACTTTTCTACTGTGTGTAGCTCCCAACCTGTCCCCAGACGCCAACACCGGGAGGTGGGTCCTTGAGTTCAGGTAGGTTCTGCTCGTTTAATACACCAGAGACCCAAATGCAGCAGAAAGGCAGCAGTTGTACTGATGGACGGCAGTCCTTGCGAGCACCAGCTGGTGTGTATTCTCGGTGCTGGTGTGTATTCTCGGTGCACAGCAGGCTTTGTACCCTGATTTGCAATGTACCTCCAGTAACCTACCCACTGACCTCGTGGACACGGAGATTCTGACCAGAAACACTGTTGACATGCAGCCACGGCTACATCCCATGTGATCAAGAGCATCCTTAGGTCCAGGCAGCTTTAGATTTTCCTTTATCTGTAATGGGGGAAAAAAGCACAGAGCTTGAAACAATGTATTAAAATACCCAGTTAACAGAGAAAATTGGCAAAAGCTAAGTACACGCTTTTCTCCCTTCCCCTTGCTCCCCTCACCGAGGTGGTAATTGACTTTGTATGTGGGTAAGCCTGGTGGTTAGTTCCCTACCAGGGAAAACAGACACCCAAGTAGGATGAGATGAGTGTAACGAGTTATCACAAGATACGGATACGTTTCAAAGAGTTTCCATGGTTTAGGAATACCACCCACTGTTCACTGAGGATAAAGAACCCGACAACAGGCTGCCCAGCTGGTCGGTGTCTGTGGTCCCGAAGCTTTCCCCCTGATGGTCATGAGGGCCCACATGTCTGACCGCAGTCCTGATGTCCAAATACAGGCAGCACCTCAGCCTCAGAGTAAACTGCCTCAGGCAAATCTGAAGGCGCCATGACAACACCGTTCCATGTGTCAAAATTCTCTTCAATATTCTGTAATTTATAAAAAATTTATCTACCTGGAAACTGCTTCCTTTTTTTTTTTTTTTTTTTGGCTGTGCTGGGTGACATACAGGATCTTAGTTCCTCCAGCCAGGGATCGAACCCATGCCCCCTGCGGTGGGAGCGTGGAGTCCTAACCCCTGGACTGCCGGGGAAGTCCCGCTAATTATTATTATTATTATTATTATTTTTTGTGGTACGCGGGCCTCTCACTGTTGTGGCCTCTCCCGTTGCAGAGCAACAGGCTCCGGACGCGCAGGCTCAGCGGCCATGGCTCACGGGCCCAGCCGCTCCGCGGCATGTGGGATCTTCCTGGACCGGGGCACGAACCCATGTCCCCTGCATCGGCAGGTGGACTCTCAACCACTGTGCCACCAGGGAAGCCCCCGCTAATTATTTTTTGATATTGTCTGAATTATTCACCCTCCAGCCTTCATTGAATCCAGTCAGTGACTCAAAAGTCCCGATTTCCACCTCTGCCCCCCGCACCCGCCAAAAGTCAACTAACATCGTGTAATTTTGATTTGCAGATGGGTCGTCAAGAGGGATTTCACATGTGGACGTTTTGAAGAACGTAAGTATTCTGCCGGAAGTTGTATGAGCTTTGGGCTCTTACTGGAATAAGCTCAAATAAATGCTTGCTTGTTCCTCCGACCTGTTACAAACAATTCCAGTGACGGGTGTATGTAACACCTGGTATTAGAAATGGTCCAATACATCAAATCCACACAGCTTTCTGTATGTGAACCGCACCTCCAGAAAGAGGTTTTAAAAAACCATCCACACTCACCTATTATGACCAAGTCACTGTGCTGCCACGGGAGATGAAATTCATGTATATAAAATCAAACCACCCAGACAAATTATTGCCATCCCTAAAAAAAAAAAAATAAAGAAAAATTGTCTTCATTAGAAGGGGGATTCAGTTCAAATGGGTCATCAGCATGTTGGATTTTTTTCATCTGGGTGTGGTAAAATCTTAAATTTCTTTCAAAGGAAAATTAGATACCTCAACAAATAGGTAGGCCATCTTAAAATGCTCAGTCAGTAAAAATATTTTAAATTCAGGTGCCTCTTGGTCCCGCATCTCATTCTCCCTGCACCTGTTACTTAGGCCTGTACTTTGGTGTCCCTGGCTGCTTCTCACAAAGGCACTGCTGGGTGACCGCCTGGCACTTTGCATTAACGCAGACGTGAGGTCCAAGAGCCCAGCCCAGGAGAGAGAGGCTCCTGGCGGTGGGGCCCCACCTTGCCTGCTCCCCTCCCAGGCGAGAGGAAATGGTTCCCTCAGACCACGGTACCACAGTGATAGCCTGGAACATGGTTTCCCTTCAACCGACCAAGTCCTGTGGGTTCTGCCAGGGCTGTCATCCACCATCCCTCCCCCAGGGCATGGACTTCCTGTAGCAACTGTGCATCAAACAGCTTTCAGAAGGCCTGGGCATTTGTCCCACAGTAGATTCGGAAGATACTTACTATTGAAGTTATCCTGAAAAATGCAGGAACCTCAGTTCTCGTGGCTTGTATTTGGAGGCCCCGGCCATCCTTGTAAGGCTAGGATATGGTTTAGGGAATAGAGGCACAAAGTCTTGAGCTGCTTTTTATTCCACACCCATTAAATAGGACAGTTACCAAGTGTGAGGGGGTGGGCAGGTATAGGTACTGAATCTGAGAATGGGAGGGAACCACCCAATCACCTACCGTCAGTCCGCCTTTGCTCACAGATATCCTAGGTCTTACCAAAGGCACTCTTCATCCTGGAGGAACTCAAGAGACAGCAGCAAAATCTCATTAAAATTTACCTTCCCACTCTCGATGAGACTCAGACACAAGCTGGGCAGCTGGCTCCGTGGTGGTTACTTACAGCACGTTAGTCGCGGAGGCGGATGGACTGTTGAGAGAAGCAGAGCTGTGGTCCCAGCCAGGACTCGTGGGCAGTTAGGTCGTCCTCGGAGCCCCAGGGCACTGCAGGATCTGGGGGGAGGGACGGTCCCCTGGGGTGGTGGCAATGCTCTTTGCCTGGTTCATGCACTGAGAATCTTTTATGATTGTTTGAAAAAGAAGAATGTACTAGAAAAACAAAGAGTGGACACCATTACACAAGTGCTTAGTCTATTACTACTACTCCTTTTAATAACGTGTTTAACTTTTAATTTTTTAAAACTAACCTGTTAGGTGCCAGATTGGTCCAAGAAACTGTAAGGACTTAGCTTTGGCATCTTCCTCTGGCCCTGCTCTTGGAACCTGGCCTCCGGGCAGGTAGGGACCGCACAGGTGTTGACAAGCATGTTCACGTCTCACATCACGGGAGTTGCCTGTGGTTTATGGGGACCACGAAGCCCCTGAGACTGAGCCTTCCCCGGGGCCTCTGCTCCCACCTCCCGTTCCTTCTGTCCTCGGGCCGGGAAGTGACCGCCTGGGGGCTGAGTGACAGTGGTACATCGCCAACCCCATGACTGCGGACGAGGAGTGACTGTCCTTCGAACAACAGGTCGGAAGCAGGAGGCGCTGGTGGCAGACACAGTCCCCAAGCCGCACTCGTGACCAGCGCCCGGGAACAGGGGCCACTCTTCCCGCGGGAGGTGTCGGGATGACCCCGTCCAGCCTTGCAAGTGTCCACAGAGAAGCCATGGGAGGCGCTGAGGCCTGGGAGCTGCTGTTCAGTCGCTGGAGGAAATCGCGGGGCTGAGCACAAGCGTCGAGGAGAAAAAGACGATAAAGGGCTTAAGATGGGAAGAGCTTACAAAGGCCAATCTCAGGAGGGCAGCCCTTGGGACCTCAGGAAGACACTGGGAATACCCGTTTGCACAATCATTATGTCTTTTATTTACATATAGAAATTAGTAAAACTTAAAACAAAACCAAATGCGACTTGTACAGAAATCCTTTAATTTTCTTTATTTTCACACATTAAAAAATGAAACACACTATACAAATGGTTTTTCATAGCGGATTACACGTGGGTCCATTCAGACCTGCTCTCCAGGCGCTGCCGGCCTCCGAAGGGCCGCCCGGCCGGCCGCTGTCATTCACGTGGCCAATGGGTTGATTCGGATGCAGAAGCATGCAGCCCTCAGTGAGGAAGGTTCCATCCCCTCTGGTCTTAAATTAGCTTAAATGGCGTTGGTGTCCGTTATTTACAGACGTGAAGTGTGGCGATCCTGAGCAGTTCTCATCGCCCTGAGCCCGCAATGGGAGCCTGGGCCTCGGGCTGAGCAGGAGGTCCGCGTGGCGCCGCCGCCGCCGCCGCCACCACCGCCTCGTCTCCATCCTTCCCACGGGACGAGGGGCTGCGCCGCGGTCAGACCCCTCCAGGAGGGTTAGGCCAGGTAACTGTAGGTGTCCTTTTCACCATCCACTCGCTCCAAATATTCCTTCTCAATCAGAATGTCAATGCATTTCTGGGTACCATTTTTAGAAGAGGAAGAGGTAGTGAAAGGGAAAGAAAAACATGTTCAGGGTCAGAACGGAGACGGACCCCCCTCCATCCTTGGGGCACTGCCGCCTCCCCGCCCGGAGCCCCGCCCCCGCGGCTCCTGTCACTCCAGCCGCACCCGCCCCGCGGTACCTGCCGCCCAGTTTCTGTTTGAAATGACCGCAACCAGAAACGAGCCGCGAGTGTGTCCAGGGGCCGCGGGCCACCCAGGGGACCCGGAGCAACGAGCCACATCCATGGAGACCGCCGCGGGAGGGCGGGACTCTCAAAGACCCTCGGGGCAGAGTTCAAGGCGGCAAAGTGCTTTCCGGCGTAGGACACACGCGAGGGCGTAGGACACACGCGTGGCGGTGGTGACACCAGGGCGTGGCTACCGGCCCGGAGGGAGCGCGAGGCTCGCTCTCGTCTGGGGCAGCTGTTCGCTTTGCCAGGATCAGCAAGCTGAATGCTGAGGATTTTGCCCTTCTCTGTGTACGTGCTTCAGTAAAAAGTTGAAAAATGCATCCTATTTTCTTTTGCAGAACCTATTATACATGACTAAGCCAAGTTCCTTCTTCGCGACACAGCAATCAATCTCGTTTGGTTACCTCTTTTGGCTTCTGAAATGTAATCTGAATGCTTCTGCTATGTAATTCTTGTACCTTAATTACTGGGACCCGAGGCTTGAACCTTGAGGACAGCTGGGTCAGCACTTCTCCAAGTAACTGCTGGTGCTTCAGAACCTTCCTCATTTTCATAATTCTCACAATAGCCGCCTGTGTGATCAAGGAAAGAAAAATAAATGTGTTTAACAGAGTTATAAGAACTTAGCCGTAGTAATTAAGAACTAGCAGCAAGGCTGCCAAATATGCAGAGGACTACAATTTCCTAACAGGCGACAAGCACACTGCAGCTCAGAGCGGGCAGGGGGCCAACTCCATCTACTTAAGTTTCAGCGCCAACACAACAAACATTAAAATGTTTTGGTCTTATGAACAGCAATTTTAGCCATTTAACCCAAGTAGAAAACACTTTTAAAATGAGAAAAAGTTCAGTCTTCGAAGCCACGGAGGCCGCCTGACCCTGCACTAAACAACTTTCCCTCCCTCCCATCTTAGTAACTCACCACATGTATTTGCTCCCATCTATTTCATCGATTATTCCATCTACTCCATCCAGAACCATCCATCATCCTGGCCACCACTCCCAAGTCACAGGACACACAGCCCAGAGGAAGCGCCACCCCAGCTGCGGCGGCCACCTCCCCCGCGAGGGGACAGGCACCCAGTGTCACCTGGATCAGAAGCTTGCGATCTTCCTCAATGTTTTTGTGTGTGGTTTCTTGTTCCTGCTTCTGTTCCGTTTTCATTGGCACATTGATGTTAACCCTTAATTTCTTACTGTCAAGAAAATCGAGGAAACCAATCACTATTGTTTTTAAAAGGCACGCAGTAAAGGCTTCTTTCTGTTTTCAATCTTTAAGAGGTGCTTCGCTCCCTGGACGGAGGGTGGAGAGTGTGACTGACCATCTCCCGCCTCCCTGCCACAGTCATCTCTCTGAAAGGCCCCTAGTTCTCCGCAGGGTGGGTTCCTGCTCTGCCAGCAGCAGGACGTCTGTATTGCAGGAAATTCAGTTCCTTAACCTGCTCTCCCAAACTCTGTCAAGTGAAATAAAATCAAGACACTGGGACACAGAGGTCCAAACTTTCTAGGCGAGCCATTTAAGGAGACTTATTTATTTGCCAATAGAAGAAAAACCCCAAAACTGAAAGAGTCAAATGGAGACCCACCCAGGATGGGTCAGAGGGAATCAGAGGCCCCTGTCAAAGGCCTGCCAGGCGTGGCACCGTGCTCACAGCCCCCCATCTGAGGTGACACCGGTAAGTGCACTGGGGGTCAGGGGACAAGTCTATGGCCTAGGACCGTCTACTTCTTAGATTTTCCTTACTTTTTATAACCAAGATATAATTTTATTAAGGTATCTGGCTTCAATTCCACCTCATCAACATTTGCATTTTCGTCTTCCAAGACCTATAAGAAAACAACTGTTACTACGTAATCTCAGGAAAAGGCTTTCTTCTAGCTTAACATAAAAAGTACACAAACATACCAATAGCTTCGACTTCAATAAAATCTGTAGGACTTGTGCCAAAATGTCCTGCAATTAAAGAGAAAAGAGAAAATGCATTTTTCTTTGTAATAAGAACCACAGCCCCAGTCCCACAGTCCATTCTTCTATGGAAAAATAATGGTCACTTAAGTAGAATATGCTCGGAGGAAAAAGAGGGATGGTGCCTCATAGAGGGTCCCCAAACCTACTCCTAAAAGTGAAATCAACCCCTTTCTGCTCTTGATCACCCAGTATTAAAAACTGACAATTCTACTACAAATATTAGAAATCGTGCATAACTGATTTCTTTGACTAAATCTTCTTAGATGCCTGACAGCGCATCTTGAACACCGATCACCGCAAAGAATGAGCAGAGGGAGTGTCATGGGCCCGGACACTGTGGACAACACCGTCTGCTCACAAACAGAATGGGGATGGTGCCCGCCACCCTGCTGCTGACCCACCTTTGGTGAACTCTAAGCCCGTCGTGTGGCCACCTGAGAGTGGGTGGTCAACTGTTTCTCAGCTCTCCTTTAGCTCCACAGCTTCCTGATCCCATGGAATCGGACAGTCACCAGGCCGCTCACATGCGCAGCCCCTCCTCCCCTGGACGGAAAGGGCCGCGCCCCTGCATAAGGGAAGCCCATCCTGGTCAAGGAGAGCTGGAGAGGCCTCTAGCGTGGTGACTGGCCCAGAGTCCAGAGCAGGATGAGGACGCTGCTGGCCACGCCCGGGGCACGGATGCGGAGGCTGCCTTCCTGAGCCTGACTGACTCCTATTGTGGAGGGCAGGGGAGGGGTCAGCCCCCCACGGGGAGCCGGCTCTGCACTAAAAACTGGCTCAGGGGCTGGTGGGGAGCTCAGCTCCGAAAAGCGGGTCCCCGACCGAGGGCAGAGCCCCACACCAGGGTCTGGGGGCAACCTAAGCCTCCACCCTAACTGAAGCCTCCTCCTTCCGGTGAGGAGTGAGGAATGAAGAATGCTCCTACGTGCAGAGAAGCAGATTGGTTTTGTTATTAGAAACTGAGAATGTATTCTGGACTAACTTGAAGCAGGACTCAAAAATAAATGACTTTCCTAATTCACATTCTATGAGGCCAGTAACTAGCCCGACACCAAAACCAGACAAAATCGTCAAAAGAAAATGGCAGACCAATTTCCTATGAATAAAGATGGAAAAATCCTCAAGAAAATTCCAGCAAACATATAAATTCCAGCAGCATATAAAAAGCATTATATACCATGACCAAGTGGTATTTATCCCAAGAATGCAAGTGTGATTCAACATTAAAAAAAAAAAAAAAACAATCAACATAATGCACCATTATTAATTGACAAAAAGCACAGTTATCTCAATGCAGTAGAAAAAGCATTTAAACAGAATCCAACACTCTTTAAACTAGGAATAGAAGGGAATTTCTTCAGTCTAGTAAGTAGCATCTAAGAATAACTTAAGTGACTCTAAGGCTTCCCCCAAGATCAGGAACAAGACAAGGATGCCCGTTCTTACCACTTCTATTCAACAATGTACTGCGAATTCTATCCAAAGCAATTAGGCAAGAAAAATAAATAAAAGGCATTCAAATAGGAAAAGTAAGTAGTAAACTATCTGCATCTGCAGATGACATGGCCACATATTAAAAAAGCCCTGAAGTATCCACACAAAAAGTATTAGAATAAATGAGTTCAGCAAGGTTGCAGGATACAAGTTCGATACGTAATTATATTTCTACACACCAGCAATGAACAAACAATTCCATTAACAATAGCATCAAAATAAAATACTTAGGAATAAATTTAACCAAAGAAGTGTAAAGGCTTGCATAATGAAAACTATCAATATGAGACAGAGTTTAAAAAGAATAAAAGACAGTCTGAATAAATGGAAAGACATCCATGTTCACAGAAGACGATATTGTTAGGATGGCAATTCTCCTTCCAAAGCAATCTACAGATTTAATACACTCCCCATCACAGTTCCAACTGCCTTTTCTGCAGAAACGGACAAGCTGATTCTGAAACTTATATGGACCCAGAATAGCCGACACAATCTTGAAAAAGAACGAAGTTGGATGTCGCAATTCCAAAACTTACTATAAAACAACAGTAACCAAGAAAATGTGGTACTGGCATAAGAATAGACATTTAGATCAGTGGAAAAGAATTAAGAATCCAGAAAGAAACCCATACATCTATGGCCAATTGATTCTGACAGGTTGCTAGTACGAACCAATAGGGAAAAAACATGTACAAAAATATCCAATCACTATTGTACACCTGAAGCTAATGTATTAATTTATACTTCAATAAAAAGTCAGGGCTTCCCTGGTGGCGCAGTGGTTGAGAATCCGTCTGCCAATGCAGGGGACACGGGTTCAATCCCCTGTGGGTCCTGGAAGACCCCACATGCCACGGAGCAACTAAGCCCATGTGCCACAACTACCGAGCCTGCGCTCTAGAGCCCGCTAGCCACAACTACTGAGCCCGTGTGCCACAACTACTGAAGCCCACACGCCTAGAGCCCATGCTCGGCAACAAGAGAAGCCACCGCAATGAGAAGCTCCACACTGCAATGAAGAGTAGCCCCCGCTCGCCGCAACTAGAGAAAAGCCCGCGCGCAGCAACGAAGACCCAATGCAGCCAAAAATGAATAAATAAATGTATATATATATATAAAGTCAACTATACTTCAATAAAAAGAAAAAAACAGGGAAAGAATAATCTCTGACCTTGGATTAGGTAATGGTTCCTTAGATATGACACCAAAAGCACAATCAATAGAAGACAAATAAAGTGGACTTTCATCAAATTTAAAACGGTGAGTGTGTGATTAAGAAAATGAAAACCCAGAGAACAAGAGAAAATATTTGTAAACCACGTATCTGAAAAGGGTCTACTATGCAGAATATATGAAGAATTCTTACAACTCAACAAAAAAGACAAATAACCCAATTAAAAAGGGGCATAAACGTCATGAGTTGTCAGGGAAAAAATACAAATCATCACAGTGCGGCACTACTCCATACCCACTAGGATGCGTATAATTAAAAAGAAAAGGATAACAAGTAATGTTGGCAAAAGGATGTGGAGAACACGGACCCTCATACAATACTGGTGAGAACACAAGCTGGTGTAGCCACTGTGGAACAGTCTGGCCGTTCCTTCAAGAGAGAAATAGAAGTTATCATGACTCAGCAATTCCGCATCTAGATTTATACCCAAGAGAACTGAGAATACGTTCATACAAAGAGTTGAAAGGTGGAAACAACCCAAATGTCCATCAACTAATGAATGGATAGACATAAAGGTGGTCCATCCATATACTGGAACATATTTCGGCCATAAAAAGAGGATGAAATACAGATACGTGATCTCACGTGAATAAGCCCTGAAAACATTATGCCCCAGTGAAAGAAGGCAGACACAAAAAGCCACGTGTCGTATTATTCCATTTATGACATGTCCAGAGCAGGCAAATCGAGGGGGGGGGGGGGGG